GTGTGTGTGTGTGTGTGTGTGTGTGTGTCTGTGTGTGTCTGTGTGTTAGTTTACAGAGTTTCTTGACCTGAGTTCCATCAAGCAAAAAACATCTGAAGTGCAAAATGGTGGTAGAGAGGTTTGTGTCTAATGAGGATGTGCTATTTAAGCTTTGGTCAGAGTCTCAGACATCTATGTCCCATATAAAAGTCAGGATCTATGTTTTAGATGTTTGTGACTTTTTTTATAAGGCCAATAAAGAAATAAAAATAGAATCCCTCCTGGAAAATGAAACTTGAGTTCCACTATGCTCCAGTTGCTTTTTAAGATACCCGAACAATGTGTGCACAGGGTTGAGATTTTGGTTGCCTTGTTTTCCTGTCACCCTCCCATCACAGCTGTGGAATATAAGAGTAAAGAAAGGTAGAGTGCAGGCTGTGGTGTAGACCCACTCCGGGGACAGACAGCTCAATGAGACCTAGAGCTGGCTCCATGGCTTGTCTACTCTGCCTAAGTAAAAGCCCTGAGACTTTCCTTGCTATGTAAGGCTCACCCTTGTCATTTCTTTTGCATATTCACCAGAAACATGTAAAATCTGCTCAAATTTGCACCTTTTACAAATTGTCAGGCCAATTTTCTTTTTATTGTCTACTCTCCCTATACCTTCCAGAGATGCAAACTATTAGAAATACTTTAAATTTCTGAAGCCTAGACCTTGGAAGTTCTGTTGTTGAATTTATGTAGTAGGTTAGATACTGCGAATACTGCCAGTGTATACAGCCTTGGAGCCTTGTTCTAGCTCAGTGGTTCTCAAGCTTCCTTATGCTGCAACCCTTTAATACAATTCCTCGTGTTGTGGTGAACCCAATCATAACATTATTCTCATTGCTACTGTAATTATTCTCATCATAATTGTAATTTTGCTATGAATACAATTGTAAATATCTGTGTTTTTTTTGATGGTCTTAGATGACCCCAGTGAAAGAGGTCTTCACCCAAAGGTTGAGAAACTGGCCTAGTGGAAGCTGTAGCTTTGGTCACAGTAGCTTTCAGATGATCAGACACCCATACCATCCTGGATCTTTGTAGCTGGAAGAACCTTGCAGATCTTCCAGCCTGACCTTTACAGTGCACAGTTGAGTGTTTTGGGGCACAACCATGACCCTGAAGCCAGGACTGGCTCAGTCACTCTGCACCTGGAGGTGCCATCCTGCTCCCTGCCTGCATGCTGACCATCCAGTACACTTTCTGCTTTCAAAAGAGCAGGGCAAATAATGGCTACACATGGAGTTCAGTGTAAGCAGTGTGCCAGAGAAGGTATATGGTGAGTCAGGAGGGGATGAATGGAAAGAGAGAAGCAATGGGAGTGGAGGAAATATTCTGAGGAGAATGCACTGAGCACAGGCAGGTCAGGCTGGATTGTGGATGCAGCCCATACAAACTTTCCTGACAGAAGCCTCATGTCTACTTTGTATGGTGGAACTTGGACAAGGGGCCATGGGGTTGGGGAATCCCCACTCCTCTTATTAGTTTTGTTTCCCAGGGCCTCATTGAGGAAGAGTAGCTCACCTCAGCTCCTGTAACAGTAACATGGAGTATTCACGGCTGTCCTCATGACTCCCAAGATTACCAGCCATGGCCTCGGCCCATACCCGAAGAAGCCACAGTCTGTGCCTTTAGTTAGAAAGCTGAGCTGCTTTGAGGTTCATGTCATTGCAGTGGTGTGGCCTGGTCCCCTTACACTCTGTTCAATAGAATTACAGGAGGCCATTGTTTTCACTGAACATTTGGCCCAACAGACAGACCAAACCAAACGGAGTCATTTGTGCTAAATGCTGCTGAACCAAACCAAACCCAAAGGGGTTACAACCCATAGGTTGAGAACCGCTGTTCTAGGGACTGCCACCCCTTCAGCCTTTGCCTGCAGTGAGAGCCATCATTCTGTACTGGGGGTGGAGTGGAAGGAGGTAGGCCAAGATCATAATACTTGCTTACTCAACAGTTATTAGAAGAAAGAACCTTTCATAGACTAGTCCTAATGAGCCAGCTGTCTGAGCACAGTGGACAAGCAGGGCTGAGCCAGGTTCCTCTGTAGGTCACTTGTCTAGAGATGGAAGCTTCTCTCCTGGGATCTAATTCAGACATCTCCCAAGGTGACTTCAGCAGGGTCCACAACCTCCAGAGGCGTGTTAGTCTGTGCTTTCTCAGGCATTTTGTAATTGGTGGGGATTCCTTTTTCAGTTAAGACTGAAGGTAGTAGGCCCCAGGTTAAACCCAGGAACCAATGCTTGTGAAAACTCACTCTAGCTTATCAGAAGCTGGCAAGCTCTCACACTGTAGCACCAGCCCTTCTGGCCGTGCTCCACACTAGCTGACACAGCAAGCTGTGACAACCAATTGAATGAAGAATAAATAATGGTTTTATGGTAAGAGAACTTTTTACAATATGCCAGAGGGACCTTCTGGAGTCTCTTTAATCTTGAACAATGCTTGCTTCTTTCAGAGGCAAATTATGCAGATCGGTACTTAGTGTTCTGAACTCCATCAAGTCTTTGTTGGTAGTGTTGTGCCTGCCAGCCTAACAGAGTTCCTATCAGCTTAGGCAGGGTAGAGAGAGCTACAAGTCAGACCACTGCTGTGATCAGAAAAACACATTGTCCGCTGCGTTTGTTGTTGAACTGCCCAACAGCATTAGTGCGGACATTCTGAGGAATCCCACCATTTCGCACAAGGCTTTTATTTTTTTTTTTAAGTTTATCTTGTTTTGGGTAATTTGCAAAGCACTCACAAAGGAGCAGATAGCCAAGCTGTTCTGTAGGTAACACATTTAAACTAGGCCTGCCACCACGATGGCAGATGGTAGCCATGTTCCTCTAAGTTCCTTTTGTGTCTACTCTGCCCAGTGCTGTGTTATAAAAACTTCCCAAACATATCCAAGTATATGTGTAGGTGTAAAACAGTGTTCTTTAAATTTCAACATGTGCAGAAAGGTTAACTTGGAGGAATTCTTTGATTCCAAACTGAAAGGAAGAAACAGAAAAGTTTAAAAGCCCTTGGGGGAAAATGGCCCCGATTCTGAGTGAACTTCTGGTGTTGCTGCTGCTTTAAGGCTAGTGCTGCCATCTAGTGGCCAGGGAAAATGTGCATTTGACTTGCTGAGAATTACTATACTTCATGAATACAAAAAACAAATCAGTGTGAAGGACTAAATTAACTGGGAGTGGTGTTAATACCTTTAATCATAGCATTTTGGAGGAAAGACAAACGTATTCCTGTGAGTTAGGCCTTCCTGGTCGGTCTACAGAGCATATTCCAGTCCAACCAGAAGAATCACTTTACCAAATCTTACATGTCATGTGATAGACCTTGCGTGTGCAGCTTATAATTTTTCCCCAACACACTTGATGGTGGGATTTTCTAATGCAGATTGGATGGAAAATAGGAGGAACACAAGGAAGGCAGCTGTGATAACTAGGAACCATGCCCAGTATGGTCACAGACCTGAGCTTTAGCCTGAGATTTGTGTACTGAATATGTGACCTGAGATGTGTTCATTTTTCTCTACAAGGCTCATATTCCCAGCTGGTTATGGGAATGTGCTGGTCAGTGTACATAGCTGGGCCCTTAGAACGAGAAAGGAATGTATTTGAAAGTAGGTGTCACTGCCCAGTGTTGGACAGACTCCATAAGTATTTGTTGACATTCTAATCATAGTTGAGTTTTTCTTTGGCTGTTTAAGCACCCTAGCGTACCTTTCTGAACTGCATTTGTACTACTTGTCTGGATTCTGTGAGAAGCTGGACTAATTAACCTTTGCCATACATCTCTAGACTGGTATATTGTCTCGTGAAAATGCTGATCATCTTCAGTGCTTCTGTATACCGACTTGCGGGAAACACTGTGCAGGCCCTCTGGGTGGCTCATGATGAATCTGAAAAGAGAAGCATGTGTATAAAAGATAAGAGCAGAACCAGCATTTGCCAGCATGCCAAATGGGAGGTGTGCAGAGGTACTTTTAAATGCAGAGCAAAGTGAAAATTATCTTGACTTGGCCTTAACAGAAAACCTTACGGAGAAGTGAAAGTTCGGCAGATCTGTTAGCAGGAGCACAAAGGCAAGAGTGGGGGTCTGAGTGAGCAGTAGTCACAAGACACTTTTGGCTAGTCATTCTTTTCCCTCAGAACACTTGTCCCCAAGGACTGTGACCTGAGTTTGACTCACTAACTCCTCATTGACATATAGGTGCTACAGGCTTTGATTTGGTTTCTGGTGCTGGGCATGGAACCAGAGCCTTGAGGATCCTAGACAAGGGCTACACCAGCAGTCCTAGTGTACGCTTTCTGTTAAACTTGAAGGCAGCCATCTGCAAGTAAGGATTTCACAACCCATTGCTTCCTGTTCATCCGTGGGAGCACCCATGAAATGAGGAGGGATATATATAGATTTAACTCATTGTCCAAATAATTGCTAACTCTGCCACTCCTAGAAGTCCTGATCATGTATGTACAGCTTCATCCTTAGGATCCATCCCCTACAACACCTGAAAGAAAAAACTATTGTCTGTGAATACAGATATAGTACACTCGAAAAAATTGACTCGTGTTGAGCTCATGAGGTGTACTGTCTGGTATGGTTTGCACTTTCCTTTGGTGCCTAACATCATAGGTCATCACAGTTAGAGAAGAAACAGCTATTGGTAAGAGACCAAAACCCATGAGAGTTAACATGGTATTGACTGTGAGATACTAAAATCAAAGTTGTACGCTGGGTATGGTGACTTATACCTTTCATCCCAGTACTCTTAAATATGGAGGCAGGAAGACCATAAGTTCAAGGCCACCCTGAGCTACATAGCAAGACCTTGTTTTAGCACACACTCATCCCAGAAAAATTAGAAGCAAAATTTCTGAGTTTGCAGCTTCAGAATCTTTTTGCAGCTGTGCTCTACTGTGTGGAAAACTAGTATGTTCACTTAATGTGTGCATGTCTATATAAAGTATCTGGCATCTTTTCAATTTTAGATTTCTCACATTGGGAAGCTGCGGGATTTTCTCCTGGAACACAGGAAGGATTATATTAATGCTTATAGGTAAGTGGGTTCTTAGTTCCATGACTTTGGTGGCTGAATTCCTTTCTGTTGTACCTTCCACTCCTTTTCTTGTCCTCACTTTTTACTAACTCAGACTTGTAGTGGGGAAGGTCAGTGTCCTAGTTTGCTTTCTGTTGCTGTGATTAACACTGTGACCAAAAGCAACTTGGGAAGGAAAGGGTTCATTTCTTATACTTCCATATCAAGATCTGTGATGGAGGGGAGTCAGGACAGGACCCTAAGCAGGATCCTAGAGGCAGGAACTGATGCATAGTCTGCAGAGGAACACAGCTTACTGGCTTGCTTCCAGTGCCTTGTTCATCCTGCTTTCTCCTACATCCGGACCACCTGCCCACCCCATCAGTCTTTAATGAACCAAATGTCCTGCAGCCTTGCCTACAAACAGTCTGATGGAGGCATCTTCTCAGTCAGGGTTCCCTCTTTCCAGGTAACTCCAGCTTCTATCACCTTGATAAACACTCACCAGTGCTTAAACTACTTAATGGGGGGGCGGTATCTCCAGAGCGAAGCAGAACACCATGTGCCAACTCACTAGTCACCTCTGTGGCTACCATTTTCTACTAACAGATTTCACTTGCTGCCTGAACATGGATAGTATCAGGGACCATGTGTCCATGGAACACATTTTCTTTCAGGCTCTCCTGAGCTGTTTTTACCCATGTTTGGCCATCCCTGCCTATGACTCTGGATTTTCTGGTTTGGAGGCATTCTTGAGAACATATTTTCAGCCCTCAAACTTGTGTCTGTCACTGGGTCATGCTTTTCTTGCCAGTTCTCTTCCTGATGACAATCTTCTTTTGACAGTTCCTGGAAGTTTTCCCATAAACACTTCTCTGGCTTGGCCTTTGTTTCTTATGGCACATCTCAGGAGCACCTTACTCAGCCCCTCGTGTACTAACAGTCACATTCCTCCTGGTGGTGAAGTTCCCTTTCTAGTCAGTAGCCATTGCTTTTGTCAATATCTGAGTAGATCCACTGTGAAGATCCCCGGTGCTGGTATTAGCTCACCTACTCCTCTTAAACCAAGCTTCCTAGGCCCTCTTTGCCACAGTGCTCCAGCCTTGCCAGCCTCCCTGGAAGGCTCCAGGCTTTTACTAGCTGCCATGCCCAGATAAAGTATTCCTATTTCCACACATCCCCCTTTTTAGCTCAGCCCTCAACTTTTATACTATATAGTATATGGAGGACAGAGAAGAGTCTATACTTGTTGAGGCATTAGCCTCTCTATATCTGCCCCCAGGACAGATCTCTCCTGGTAGTGTTTATTTCTCCATCATGTGTTTTTTCTTTATAACATGAATCACAGTGTGTAATTATTTAATCCGTTAATGTTTTTATCACTAGTTTGTAAATTTTGTGAGGTCAGAGACCTTATCAACCTCTCATCCATGTTTTCATAATGCTTCAGCTATATGTTGCACCCAATCATTATTTCTGAATACATTAGTGATCTCTTCATATCCCTAAGGCTCATGGCTAGCCACTGGTTCTCATCCACAAGTGTGTTATCAATATCTTTTTGTATAACAAAGAGATTTTGTTACAGCAGTGGCTACTGGCATCTGGCAGGTGTGGGGCAAAGGCCTGCTAAACACCTTGCAAAGCACGGCACAGCCCTCCATAGCCACAGGGCAGCTGGAACTGACCCTGAAGGGGCTACCCCAGGCTGACCTGCTCACTGTTCACACACACATGGAGCTATGAAAACCTGCCCAGGGCCTTCTGCAATTCTAGATGCTCAGAGCACACCGGGGAGTACGGTGGAGAACTGTCTCTCCATTATATAACCCTCTAGCCTACATGCTGGAGGGTTGGCAGAATTTTCTGGTGACCTGGAAAGACAGAGTAAGCCATGGGGAAGGAGTGCCGTGGATATTTGCAGACCCTTGAGGCATCCTCCTGGTAGACTCCTTTCTGAAGCTTGAACTTCCTGGCAAGATCCTGTCCTTCCTGCCTTGCCTCATTCTCTTTCCTCTCCGTCAGCTGCAGAGAACTTGACAGTCCCACGTTGCCCTGCACCCCCATCCCCAGTGCTTCTGAAATCCAGCTCCATCATGGTTCTCATTGGTTCTGATGATTTAACTCTCTTCCCTTCCACACACATGCTTACTTTATTTATTTATTCCCTAAGCCATACTGTTTGGTTTCACTGCCAGTCATTGAGGTCTGCCAACTCTGGAAGGACGGTGAGCACCTCAGACTTTGTATGACATGCATGTTTTCTGTCACATAGATTGTTTTGCTTACTACCTTTGGAAAACAGAAAACATTCTTAGCTTTCAGATCACACAGAACTGGACCTGAGGGCTGCATTTGGTTGTAGTTTCCTAACCGCTGATACATGCCCATCATCCTCACCATTTGCTATAAGGAGAGCTCCATTGCTCTCTGTTCTCCCAGGTTTATTCTCTGACTTGCTCATTATCAAACCCAGTGGCTTCCCTCAAATTGTGTAATTATACTCCATTCTACTGAATTATCATAATTTGGTTATTCATTTGCGTAAGAAATAGATGTTTTCAGGCACTGCCGTGACAGTGACAGAGTGCCTTCTGAAGAGTTTGTGAAGATAAATGTTCATAAATAGTGAGGTGAGAGGTTGTTAGGTTTTCAACATTGCAGGTGCGTGTTTCTTCTGATTGTGGATTGGATATTCAAAATCAACTAAGAGTCAGTTTTAGAAGGTGATGTCGCACAGCCTACCTCAGCAGAGGAGAGATGTAGATGTTCCACATCCACACCAGTGTTTGGTATGGGTGGGCTTTCATTATAGTCATTCTAAATAGTATGAATAGCATCTTATCATGCCTTTAACTAGCTCCTAAAATGTCTTATGCCCTGGGCTTCATTACAGTGGAGTTGTCCCCAGGGCATTCGATCCAGCATCGTAGATGTAGGTGTTAAAGACCTTCACGAAATGGCATAGTGTTTGCATGCTTGTGTGTGCTTACCGGAATCATCCTAGATGATTGATGGTCTCCAGTACAGGATCAGTGCTCTTAAGATACTTTCAGCATACTCCCATATGCGGAGAAGAGCTCATGTGCTTTCAATGTGGACACAGTCATAGTGCTCTGAATTTCTGGGACAGTCTATGGAATCTGCCATTCCATAAGAATGAGAATGAGAATGAGCTGCAAATGCAGAGGACTAACTGTATTTTCACCTCCTCTCACTATTCCAGTTTATGCTTCTTTATCCTTAACTCTCACCATAGAACTTTGGCATTTTTCTTGTCTTATTTGTCTACCTTGCATTTGAAAAGTACCATAATTGTTGTGTTAGTCAGATTTTCATCCCTGAGAGAGCAACTTAAACATAGAGATGATTTATTTTGTTTCCTGTTTCCAGTTTATTTTGTTGTTTGCTTTATTACTGTGGACCTGGTAAGGCAGAAAGTCATGACAGAGAGTATGGCAGAGCCAAGTTGCTCACCTCTTAGCAGCCAAAAACTGAGAGAAGTGGGATACTACCCTTTTCAAAGACATGTCTACTGCCATGCTTCCTCCTGATAGGCACTGCTTACCAATAGCTCCTTGAAGCTGTTTGTGAACTGATGATCCAGTCATGACTCAGTACTAACCAGCTGGGGACCAGGCCTCCAACATAGGCCTTTGAGGGCCACATCAGAGTCAGACCACAGTCAGTTCTGTATCTCCTCCATACTCAACCTTCATTTGTCTATCTGTGAGATGCAATCCTAAGTACTAATGCATATTTGGTCTTATTTAGTCCTTGACTTTCCGCTACCCATTTTTACTGTGTGTCTGCCATGTGACAGTCTGTGTGAGGACAAAGAGACATATTGCTCCTTGTCACATAAGCAGGCAGCATTGTACAGGAGGGGCAACACACACACACAAACACACACACACACACACACACACACACACACACAAATGAGAGAGAGCTTAGGAGTTTGAAGACCTTGATCTTGTCATGAAACATGTCCTTGAATAAGTGATACTTGAGCTGAGGTCTGAAGGAAGAGGAATTACCATGAGAAAAAGAAGGGAGGGAATTCGTGTGTCAAGGGACTTACTTGTTGGCACGTAGGAATAGTGAAATGAGTAGCAGTGCTGAGAAGGAGCCTTCTCTTAAGGTGTTGGCTCAACAACCGAAGAGGTACTGTGCCATCTGGAAAACCAAGAAAGCATTTGGCCAGAACATACAGAATGGCTTCTGGCCTTGATTTAGTTGTCAGCACACAGGAGCACTGTGGGACAGGCATGTGGTCCTGCCCTGGCTGCAGTATGGATTTACTGTGAAACTGACCAAATCATCAGAATCTGGCCATGAAGAATTTTCCATAGGAGTGACATCACCATGAGCATCTTTCTCAGGCTCTGGCTCTGTCTTTATGAAAAAGTGTCTACATATCAGGTACTCTACTTTAGAAAAAAAATCCTCCATGCAAAATGGAAATAGTTAATATGTATTTCTCAACAGAGAAACTCATATCCTAGGTAAATATGAGCAGTTCCCAACATTGTCCCCAAGTTTAACAAGCAGTTTTATGTTTTTAAACGTATTTCATTTTTGTGTCTACAAGTACCGAGATGTCCTGATGCACAGTACTATCTTAAAGTCTGTGTTACCTGGCTGGTGAACACTAGATGGCAGTACAAATTTTATTTTTGAAGGTGTGTCCCAGGTACTAACTCAATAGGTTGCTACCTGGAAGCAGCAGTTATTTGAGGAAACTACAAGTCATTGGAGCCTCAGCACTTCCAGCTGCTTTCCTTGATCTCTAACAACTGAGGCTGCAGGTACAGTTTTATAGACCTTTCATGAAATTCTGTTGTCCTGCCACTGGCACTCACACAAGCATGCTGACCATTCTGAGGTCCTCCACACTTGCTACACATGTGTGAAGCTCTGTGATAGTGTTGTCAACTGACGGGACCCCGAATCACCTAGGAGATAAGCCTGGGTACGTGTGAGGAAATACTAGATTCGGTTAACTGATGTGGGAAAAT